CAAAATCCACTTGAACATGACGCTGCTACCATGTTTTTCAATGAATTCGATTAATTGCTCGCGTCGGTGAGCTGAAAATGATGTAAAATTATAAAATAAATATAAATAAAAAAGCACACGTTTTCAAGTAAGCAATGCGACATTTTTCAAACACAAAAATCAAACGATCTAAACTTAAAAAGATAAAAATAAAATAATCCAATTTTAACAATTATTGCTAATGCATTATTATGAATTGCTTGTTGTTATTAGTTGGCTATTAGAATGATCAAATAGCCGTTTTCACAATAAACAAACAATGACAATTACTCAAAGATCTCACGGGAATATCGTTTTGCTTTTTTTGGTCTTATTCAATCAGCCTGATGCAAAAACTAGACGGAATTTTGAAATTGTCGCTGGAATTCAAGATTACGGGAAAGTTATATCATCGGCTATTGATAATGTCGATGTGCGGCCCCAAAAATAACCAGAACCAAACGGGTAATGAAATAATTAACAAATAAACTGATTAATTTAACTCACTTTGGTTATTTCTTTGGCCCCGTGCTGGCAAAACAGATTATTAACTATTTAAAGAGAAAACAGGGAATGTTTTGGGAAAAACCGTATATTTTTGGTACAAATACAGTTCACATTTTGGCAGTCTTAACTCTCTTACTGGACAGGCTGTACTTGAAGTTCTCAATCACAATTCCAATCTTCATTGCCAGAATAGTGACGAAATAATTCAGCAGGAGGAACATGATCCTTTGCGGCCAATTAAACACGTGGAACAGTCCATAGATGAAGCGTCCATAGATGAAGAACGTGATGAAGAATCTGTGTTACCAACCAATTTAATTATTAATTTGCAAGTTTTGCTGTTGGCCAACTTACATGATGTCGTAGAAGATGGTCAGCACAGTTAAGGCAGTGAAGGCACTTTTGGAAGTGGGCAAAAGTTGATTGGTTATTAGCACTTCGATGATGAGGAATACGACAATATTCGTGTGAATGCAGTGGTTGAGCCAATCTGGAATGAATTCATCGCAAACCTCTGGATAAACCTGGGAAAAAACTTTATTAGCACAATCGCTCTTTACTGACTTTACTGTCTGTAAAGCGCGCAATTTGAAGACGGGAGGAGAAAAAGAGCGGCTTTGAATAATCTCGGAAAGAGCTAAAATATTGCGAATCGATTTTTAAGCAAAAAATGAGCCAAACTCCGATGTTTGACTTAGAACAAACCAGCTTCCCAACTATGAATTTGCTGGCATTTTCCTGATAAAAACTGCACAACCAACAGGGCTTTTTCTCCTCAAATAAACATGTAGTTCCAAGGGCTCTAACAGCGTCACTTACCAGCTCTCTATCAATGGAATACACGCCCCAGAACATGGTGGAAACAAAAATGGAGCATGGAAAGACGATGCTGGTGAACAGGAAGCCCTTCCATCGGTCTATTCTATCTCTCAGACTGTCCCACAGGGAGCAAATCCTTAGGAGATCGTGTGTTACAGCCAGAGTAAAATAGATCGTTTGAAACACCTAAAGAATGAGTTCTTTGCTGTTAAAAGGCCGATGATCGGAGAACGCTACTAACCAAGTTCCAATTAGTGAAGAACACAGTGGAGAAATTCTTGATATCCGAAATCCGATGGTCCAAGTCGTAGAATTTGTCGCTTTCTATCCTTGCGTGCATTCGATGCCCGCAGAAAAACACATTTAGGTGATGCGCTAGAAAACTCACATGGAAAATGGGGCCCAACACTGACCGCACTTGTCGCATTCTAACTGATTCTATTTGGGCAAAAACAGCTTCTTTAACTGCAAGGGTGGTTATTTCTTTAATCGCCACCAATAAAAGTATTTTAAGCCGCTTGATAAGCGTGTGTACAAATGAAGGCTTCGAGTGCGTTTGACTAGTCAACCTCGCATCCATCAGTCTTTAAGTAAGTCTTCGACGTCAAAGCCTTATCACAGTGATAATGAATGATTAAGTGATAGAAACTCTGAAAAAAGTGCAAATATATTCACTGCATATTGGAATCACTAGTTGAAGATTCAATTTATCCGAAGAAAACCCATGGTCGTTGCTTATGGGTTATTAGTTATTAATTAAGTTTTTATCTTCGTTGGGGTTTTAATCGGCTTCACTTTCTGAATATTCATGCTTTTTTGATTGCAATTGCAATTGTATAAGACAATGCACAAATATTGTGTTATTGTGAACAATTATTATTTTTCTTGATTAATTTACGATACAATTAACCGCGTGGCTGCGACAATATCGTGGATTATTCATCAATTAATTACTGTCTTTCAGCAGGATTTATTTTTAAGCCCAAAGCCCACATTATTTATGATACAGGATTCGAGACAGTCGTAAAAAAATTGCAAAGTTTCAAGAATTTTGAATTCACTTCTTTGGCTTTTGGACCACTTTTCAATCTTCCAGTTTATTTACTTACTCAGAACTTCTTTTTCTTAACATTTAAAGCTGCCCTTCAGTGTGTATTTATTCAATTTTAGAAAAATATAGACAGCAAAATTCAATAGAACGCTTAGCAAACACGAAAAAACAAATAATTACCTTTAATGCAAATAAAGATATAAAATTATGTCCAATTTATAAACCGATTATCCTGAGTGCGTCGAATGTATTTGCCCCGCCCTGGATTTATCGGTTTTATATTTTGTTTTCATTAATGTTTCAAATATACGAAAATCCGGCGCGCTTATCAAATTCCATTAATACGCTTGTCTATCTTTGTTAAGAAGTCTGTCTGGGGCAAAAGGAATCCGGGTGAATCGGGTTATCATAATAGATTAAGCCTGGTTTCCGAAAGGCTCCAGTATTTTTCAGTCGATTTTTCCGGGTTTATCTGCGTAAGCAGACAGAAAAAGTGCACTTGAAATTAAACTCGAGTTGTTTTTCGAGTTGGTTATTGCATTATTTAGACTGTTTTTAACTTAACAAACGCAAATTTATCCTTGGTTTTTTGTTGTTTATTTTCTATAATTTAAAAAATGAAGATTTTTAGCGTTCAAATATTTCCTCAGATTTTATCTGCACTCGGCTAAAAACCTAAACAAAAAACGGAAGGCCATTGGAAGCAAAAATCAATATTAACTAAATTGTGTATTTAGTAATTTATATTACTATATTGTTTGTTTAATCAACGAATCAGTGGCAAATTAATGCTATCAGGAATCATTTAATGTCGCATTTTCGCAATATACCAACCACCGCTTCAATATAGTTCAGATGATTAAAAAATGTTTGTCGAAATGTTACTATATTGATTGTTTATTGTCAATGCACCAATTTGATAAGCCATTTATTTTAAAGTTGTTGTTAATCGATTTGAAAAATAAACAGGAATTCACTGGAATTTAGATTTTATCAGCAAGATATACATTTTATTGTGGAATCCGAAAACTGCAATAAAATATCATAATAAACTACTTGTTTAAAAAAATAATCTGCTAGTTTCCCTTTCGGTCTTCGAAGTTTCCAAGTTCACTATAAACCCTTCATGCCGATGCTTCTCTAATGACGTCATCAAACGTATATATAGCGTGCTTCAATGTAAATATGCCGTATCGCCAGACACCCCAGTCCACCTCCAGTCATTTCTGACAGCCGCTCTTTTGGTTATGTTTTGATTCGGCACAATTGGATCAATAAGCATGAAATTGCTGTAATTATCTTTAGCAATGCTGTTGCTGTCCTAATTTAAAATATGTGAATGTTGGCAGTTTTGTGCGAGAAATGGCAGTACTGTTATGCGCGATATTCCTACTGTTGCGACTGAAAGGGGCGTTAAACCAGTCGCAACAGTTGCAGCTCATCTCCAAGAGCCATTCTCCCCATCTGGAGACCTATTCCACGTATTCAGACTCTGTGATAATGCATTTTACTGTGCCCGACAATACCATCAATGCATCGTTCGTCTTTGCAGCCTCACAGCAGGATCTTTCAATATTTGGTTAGTGGAATCCTTTACAACTTCACTAGGAGCAGTCGGTCGCTTGCTTGGTTGCTTTTTCATAGTTTACAGCCCCTTAAGTAGATGTTGTTGTAGATGGAAGGCGAAGGTTCGTTTGAAGTTGTAAATATGCTCTGATCAAAAGCTCCTTTTCACTCTAAACTAACGTTAATTGACGCAGAGAAACACAAGCAAACTCGAGCTAGTTGCACGTTTTAATTTTAATTTTAATCTTCCAGGTTGCACTGTTCGAAATGTGTCGCTCTATCTCAAGCATGGAGCTCCGCCCGTGATCAATCCGGACGGATCGCCGTTTCCTGAGGAGTTCCGCAACATATCCAGACCGCCAACGTATAATCTGGAGTTTCTAACCGATCAAAAGCAATCGTACATAAATGTCTCGTCACCTGAGCCTGGGATGTATTTTGCGGCAATTTTTTTGGCCTATGAAGATCCCCGCTTCCAGAAAATATCCCAACAAGGTAGGAAGTATCTGAAAACACTCTCCCCTATGTGGAGCAACACCCGAGCAAATTGCTGATGTTTTCGCTGTTTTTTCAGGTTTAACCCAGTCCTGCCGAGCATACATTGACGCCTCAGTTTACGTCTCCAGAGTGGAAAATCCGACAATAATTTCCGAAAACCGCATAGTTGAAGTGGTACTTTCGAACGCGAGCAGGCATTTTACCTTTTTGGCTCCGGAGGGTCTGGACAGTGCTCTGGTTGATGTGGAAATCGCCGATATTCCCTCCAAAGTTAAGCGAGTGGTTTTGAGGATTGGAGCGCGCAGTCCGCCGACAGAGAAAGTTTTTTTGGTTGAGAAGCTTCTGAATGCTTCCGATCCATCCGCGCAAATCGCCTTTGGGGCTGAGCCCCGAACCTGGTATTACCTGGCTGTGTCTGCTGAGTCTAGTTCCGATGCTAGCGAAAAAGTGGCCCTGAATCTTCACCCGAAGTTCTTCTCAAGCAAACTGCCATCATCGGATACGTTTGTGGCTCAGAAGCACGGCAACGCCACTCTGTACAATATGTCGGTGGTCCATAAGTACTACCAAATGTTCCGGCTCGCAGACGTCCAGCCGTACAAGCAGTTCGATTTGGTGCGCGATTCGGCTACGGAGAGTTTCGCCTTTTTCTACAAACTGCAGCCCGAGCTCGCCAGCAACTCGTTCGTGCCGATCAATGTGACCAGCGAGGAGTTCTCTGTGCTCAAGTTCGAGTTGCAAAGGGGCGTCGACATCGGGGGCACCTTGCAGTACATTCTGGCCTTCAAGCCCCGCATTTCCCGGACCAAACACACCCTCCGGTTGCTTCCGGAGCCGGAAAGTCACACTATTGTCGGCTGCATCCAGAGGAACCACTTGGCCGTGCCAGTTTGGCCCAAATATTGCGCGTCTGATGAAGACTCCTTTCTGGCGCCGATCGTCCTGAACGCCACAGTCAGCAACTCCACAGTTTTGATCCCTTTTCCGGAAAGCGGCGATTGGTATGCTTCGTTCAAGTTGTTCTGCGGCTCTTGCGAGCCGTGTGACTGTCCTGCCGCCTGCCAGGCCGAGTACGAGAGATGCACGATTGGGTGCGAGTTGAGTTCGTCCGAAAATTGCGTGGCCGAGTGCAGCTCCAAAGCGCTGAGCTCGGAGAAGTGCGCAGCATGCGACTGTGATGGGCCTTGCCGGAGGAATTCTTCTAGATCGTGCAGCAGCAGCGTGATCTTCGATGTGAGCTCGCGCCCGTGCTACTTTGGGGAATGCGGCAAGCAAGGGGAGTGTGGCCTGTTTATTTCGGATGGAGTTGCCTATTCTTCGTGCCGATGCAGCAACAATTACCGAGGTAAACTTTGCCTGCGACTGTATTGCAAAATCATCAATTTGCGTTCTTCTCAGGTTTTGATTGCTCCGATGGATCTCTGGCCACGCCCTACTACCTGGTGCTCATAGAGTTCCTCCTTCTGATTTTAAGCAATGTGTTCTTTTTGCCGGCCACTTACATCGCATTCCGGCGCCGATACTACGTAGAGACGCTCGCCTACTTCTCCATTTTCCTGTCCTCGTCCTTCTACCATGCATGCGACGCTGGTGAGAACATTCTCAGCTTTTGCGTCTTCAGATTAGGGGCCTTGCAGTTTGCAGACTTTTTCTCCGCTCTGTTGGCCATTTGGCTCACGTTGTTGGCCATCGCCGACCTGCCCCAGTTGGCTCTATCGCTGCTCCAAATGGGCGGGTCAATTATCATAGCTTTCTGTGTTAATTTGAACCGGTATGCCCTATGGATATTTGCGCTGCCCTCTGTGGTAGGCGTCGTTATTATAGGCGTCAGTTGGTACCTAAAGTACAGGAAATATCGCTGCAGATTTGTGGACAGACGGTACCTCTATGTGATGATGCCCATTGGGGCGGCTGTGGTGGCCATCGGTTTGGGTATCTACGGGATATTGCAGACGCAAGACAATTACAAGTATTTGCATTCTTTGTGGCACATTATAATGGCAACGGGAGTGTTCTTTTTGCTGCCACAACAGGACACTTTTGAAGTCGCAGTATTGTTGTCGTGATGATGTTGGACGTTTCAGTTGCTCGCGATTTATTAGCTGAATGTTATTTAAATGATAATTAGGCAATTTTTTGTTAATGGTATTATTTAACGAGCAAAGGATGATCAATTTTCCACTTTTTCGCCAGTCAGTTGATCTGTTCTGGTCTGGTTCTTCGTAGTTTTTTTGGCAACGTTTGCAACGATTCATTGTTGAGTTTTTCTAGCGTCTGATTTTCGCTTCAGCTACAACCAATGGTTGATTATCGGCTTCAAATTGCAGTTTTGCCCGACGAGGAATTTGGCCTCTATTCCCAGATAGCACAAAATATTACATACATATTTAGGAAATATTTATATGTTTGCTAAATATTTCGGATCAAAAGCAAGTATTTCTTAAATATTTGTTTCTAATATTTAATTAGCATGAAACAAATAAGTTATTAATAATTTTCTTATTGCATAATACTTTTGCACGTATATATAACAACCTTAACACCCAAAAAGTTAGTAATATATTATTTTTAATAAATGTGAACAAACTTTAGAACATATCTCAATTTTCATTGATCGATGAATAGCAAATATTTCAGAGCAAAAGGAAATATTTATTAAATATTATTTAAATGTTATTTAGAAATTATTTGTTTCTAATATTTAATTAGCATGAAATAAATAAAATAATAATAGGTTTTCTTAGTGCGTAATACTTTTTGTGTCTATATATAACACCACTAACACGCAAAAAGTTACTAATACATTAATTTAATAAGTGGGAACAAACTTTAGAACATGATATTTCAATTTTCATTGGTCAATGAATAGAAAATATTTCAGAGCAAAAGAAAATATTTTTTAAATGTTATTTCAAAAATATTTGTTTCTAATATTTAATTAACACGAAGCACATAAATTAAGAATACTTTTTCATAGTACCAAAACTTTTTGTATTTATATATAACACCATTAACACCCAAAACGTTAATAATATATTATTTTTAATAAGTGTGAACAAACTTTAGAACATATTATCTCAATTTTCATGGGTCAATTAACGGTAAATATTTCAAAGCAAAAAGAAATATTTATAAGAACTATTTTTATAATATATAAGAGTTTGTCGCGTCAACCTATATTAAATGTTGCAAAAAAAATATTTCTTAAATATCTGATTTAAATGTCAGAAAAATATTTATAAGAAATATTGTTATAATATTCAAGAATCTGTCGCTTCAACCTATATTAAATATTGCAAAAAAATATTACTGTAATATTTGTGTGCTATCTGGGTTGTGATTGTTTTACTCTTAATTTTTGCAATTTTTTCGGTKTTTTTTTTAGGTTTTCTGCTTCAAAACSCTCTTTCGTCTAAAGCTTTAATGTCGGSCGTTTTTTTAGCTTTTTGCTCTGAAATGGCTGGCATTAGAGCTTTCGGCTAAGAGCACGTTTCCACCCAGGAAACAATTCTTTTAAAATTGGGCCTTCAAGTTTTTTGTTTTTATCGCAGCGCAGGAGTTAGGCGCAAAACAATCTCAGGGAATAAAAAATAAAAAAAAACAGTTAAAAGATGGAAAAAGTGCAGCTGTTTGCATCAAATAGATCTCAAAATTTAAAAAAATCTATAACAATCTGTATTTCGATAACAATGATTCCATTCCAAGCGCAAATAAAAGTAGTATTTATTTAGCTTTGCAGTAAAGTTAGGCCTGGGTAACGCTGTGTTGAGTTGCGCTATTGAGTTATAACTCATTGGTTAATGAGCTGTAAGTCATTTATTAAAGCTCTATGAGACCCGAGACTAGAATTATCACATCTAAAAAAAGACCGTTTTTTTCTGAGCAACGTTCTACTGCTTTGTTCAAACAACTAAAAAAAGTCATCTAGATTTTTCCCACCAACAGAACCCAAGTCCAAAGAAAGTCGACGAGTTTTCATGTAAAATCGATCTCTTAATTTTTTTGCATGAAAGAATCAGTTTGCGAGTATTTTACAGTAAACGTAAGGAAAAATCCCAGACTGTTTGTTGGGTATTTCGCCTCAAAAAATGTTTGTCTTTAAAAAAAAAACAGAATTTCCTCATGTCTTTTATTACAGATTGATAAATAGTCGTGAAGAAATTATGTCTTTTTTAAAGACAAACATTTTTTAAGGCGAAATACCCAACAAACAGTCTGTGAAAACATGAATCCGCCTCAACCATATAGAACTTATCTACAACAAATTAAATTATAGTTTAACAATAGGAATTTGCACCATTTTTTAGGCGTTTTAAGAGCCTTCTTTTCTTTGAGACTCGCTTTTCCTGCAACTGCAAACATTATTTAGACACTGAGATTCCTTTTTTTGGGTATTTTATGCATTTGATACGAAATGTTCGTTTCCTCAGTTGGCTCCTTTTGTCATCAATTAATGACGAAATCATCCTCTCTATTTTTTTATTATTTAATGTAAGCACGTAATTTTACCTTGTGATAATACGCAGAAATTATGTGATTATTATATTTAAGTAACCGACAAATAACGGTTCTACAAACGTATTGTTATTTAAAGCTATTGGTTAATTTGCAATAACATGATTAAACCTTTCACATTTCATTTACTTTGTAGAATTGTTCTGTGTACTACTCAGTAATTCCAAAGAATTTGTGATGTTTTATAGGCAATTTTATCGTAATGAAGCCTCCAGTTTACTAGGATTTATGTATAAAGGATATTGATGTGAAATCGCGTCCCAGATGAAAACTAATATTAATTTATTAATGTTGAAATATAGTCTATTTATAACGAACAGTGTGTTCAGTGCCAAAGTAGAAATTGAGTTTTACCCTGATAGTGATTTTTAATCGCCAATGCAGATGAAATAGTKATTAGAATCTTATCTTTCCAGGGTCTCAGTCARAGTGGGAAATACAAATTTAAAAAATTYGTATAYYGTTTATTTCATAACGTTTCGRCGAGACAACAGCGCCATCATCAGATTGAAAATTTACACAAACTCATAATTGGTAAACATTACGTTCTTTTAGGTCTTTGCCTTCTTGAAACCGTAAATTTGTCTTTCGAGAGACAAATTTCAGGTTTCAAGAAGGCAAAGACCTAAAAGAACGTAATGTTTACCAATTATGAGTTTGTGTAAATTTTCAATCTGATGATGGCGCTGTTGTCTCGCCGAAACGTTATGAAATAAACGATATTCGTTTTACTTCACACTTTGACTGAGACCCGGGAAAGATAAGAATCTAATAACAATTACACGCAGTCAGGAAAATAATCAAAATAGATAAAACAGTTACTTTAAGAGTTTCTCCATCGCAAAAACCATCTGAGCTCAAACATTCATTACTTACTTAGTGAAAACATGATTAGCATCCCAAACCCGTTCGAGAACCCCAATTTAATGCCCAGTCCAAATAATGAAGCATTTCAGAAGGTTGCATAAAATCTCTTAAACTTTTCGCTCAAACAACAGCAGTTTTTGGCAGAAACGAAGTCAAAAGCGCTTTTTTTGGGGGCGAAAAAGGTCAAGATTCCTCCGATGTTATCGAAAACAAACAACAAAGTGTTTGATTCAACGCTTTAATTCTGCATGGCAATCCAGGCCAGTGATAAATCAGTGTTTGGACAGATTCCAGTTGCACAGAGATTGTTTGCGATTTACCATGGCCGAAGAAGGCGACGTCCTAATCGAACTCACCGACATCCAGTTAAAACAACTGGCAGCAATTTACGGAAAATTACGAAACCAACTTCCCCATTTGCACAGTTTTTTCCATATTTGTCTGCGATCTAAAGCGCTGGGAATGCTGGATTTTGTCCACGTTTACTCACCTGGAGGATGCTGGCAGGAGGATGGCACTTTCATTGCATCCATGCCGGTAAGAACACGCAAAAACCTGTTTTATTTGTATATATCTGAGCTATTTTAGATACATTCCCATGACATAGTGTTTCACAGTTTGGACCCGTCGGGGACCAATCTCATAGAGGGTTTCAGGAAGACGAAAAAGTTCAAATTCCTCAAGGATCCTGCTAGAGACTACACCTACCTGTACGGGGTTCATGAGATGTTTTGCTCGAAAATCCTGCAACTTTTCACTGAAGATCTTCAACATGAAGTGAGTTACAACCACGCCTTCCACCTATACAGGCTGGACATGGAAAAGGCCTTACAAAGCGAGTTTCGGTAATTTTCCAACTGCAGGACTTCAAACGCTGAATGTGTTTATTGTTAGTGTCCCGGACGAAGTCTATATAACGGCTCTGGAGCCTCAAGATCTTCCAGCTGTAGTCAAGGCATGGCCATTCAGCTTCCCTGCAGCTGAGCAGAAGCTGCAGGACTGCCTGAAGCTGAGCGTCGGATTCGTGGTTCGACTCAAATCAACCGACGAAATGGTTTCTTGGGTAACTTCTTCTTGCTACGGTAAGCGATTTGACTTGGATCTTTGACTATTTCCTGCATGCGAAGCAATTTCAGGCCAAATGGCTGCCCTTCAAACAGCTGTGCAGCACCAACAAAAAGGATACGCTCAATTAGCAGTTAGGGAATTCTCGCGTTATTTAGCAAATAACGGTTTTGATACTTGCGGAACGGTGGTAGCTGGAAATGTGCCTTGCGAACGGATGCTGGAGGGTTTGGGCTTTGAAAAGCTGTTAAAATGCCGGTTTATTGCCATCCGAAATAAGTATTAGATCCCACATAGCAAAATGATGTTCCCAGAATATACCTGGAACGTTCATGTGATGTACATGCATATTCCTGGGACATACATGAGTTACATTATGAACGTTCCATGATGTCCCAGGAATCTGTCAGAGTTAATACACTGTATGTTCATGGTATGTTCAGTGAATGTATATGGTATGTTCAGGGAATATACATACATATATGTAACGAAAGAAAAACGATACTTTATTT